ATAGGATAAATTATATTTAAGTTATAGAAAAATATAAACTTGTAAACTCTAAAAAACTTGGTATGTATACATCAGTAAATGTTTAAAAATTTAGTTGGTTGCTCTGAATGCAAAATATGCTACTGAATTAAATTACTTTTTTAAAAATATTAAATTTTATCATATATTTTATAGTAATATATATGATGCTTAAATGCATTTGATTATAAAATTATACAAATTTGTACCAGCGTAATTGTTTTCTAATCTTGTTTACCATTCTGCTTTGAAACATATTCAGCAAGTTCTTTAGCATACATGTCGAGTCTCTGCGTCATCTAAAAAAGTTAAACAAATTGAGTTTATATGTTTTTTAATATGTATACGTTGGCAAGAAATAATAGAAGTTTTATGTATTTGACAGGATATACTCTTGATCGAAGTTTTAGACATTAAATTTCTTTTTCATTTCAAATAATTCATATTTTTGAATAAAAAATATATATTTTTGTTATTATAATTTGATTTCTATTCATTAAAAAGTATCTGCAATCTTATTCAATTTTTCTAATCAAATTAATGAAATTTAGTATTAATAATTTTACGTATTATTTTATATACAACAAATAACAAATGCATGTAAAATACTTACTCTAAATCCCCATATATCCTTCATTTGTCGACACATGTTGAGATCTAGATCTGCAATGAGCAATCCATCTTTGTGTCGACTCAAACTCGGAGTTCGCGAACCATCAGGAGCGGTAATATAACTGGAGCCGTAAAAGAATCCAAAATTGTTATGCGCGGGAAGTCCATCACCAGAGGTGAATTCATTTGCAAAATGCTCAGTGCCTACACGATTGATAGCACAAGTGTAATAATTATTCGCTATCGCAGCACATCTTGCTTCGATTGGCCATAAATGTTCTGATAATCCTTGAGTAGTTGCGGATGGATTAAAAACGATCTGAAAAACACGGAAGATTATAATTGAAGTATCTAACAAAATATTGGAAAGTTGTGAAAGAAAATGTTTCTAGTAAAAAAATTAACTTCAAGCTTTATAAAGACCGAATTTATATTTTATATAAAAATAACATAGAAATGTATTTAGCGTCTTACTTCTGCCCCATTCAAACCGAACATCAACCAATTCAATGGATGATGACGTCCATAACATATGTTAATCGCAATACGTGCAAATGGAGTATCAAATACTGGATGTCCTGTATTGCCTTCCATGTAATAAGTAGATTCATTAAAATCCCCCACACGGGGAATATGATTTTTCCTATGTTTCCCAAGGACTGTACCATCTGTGTTAATCACCACGCATGTGTTCCAGATCGTATCTCCATTAGCAGAATCTCTTTCTAAAATCGGCGATAGTATTACCATGTTGAACTGTTTGGCCAAATCAGACAGAAATACGGTCGTAGGCCCAGTCTGGACATCTTCCGCAAATTCACACCATGGATATTTTTCTCTTGTGCAAAAAGCGAATGGCATAGCTAGAATAATCGCAAGTAAAATACACAAATTAGCGTGCGTGCGTGTGTGTGCGTGTGTGTTGCGCGCGCGCGTACATATACACACAATATTATATACTATATATTATATAACTATATGTATATATTTAATAAATGATTAATAGGAGTTGTCACATACTCCATGCTTCTTGAAGACATAAAATATTAACTTCATGTTCAGCTGCACGTACGATGTATGATTTAATTTTCTCATGAATCACATCTCGTTGAGCTTGAATAGATTCTGTTGTTTTTGCTGCTATTTGATGTTGTATCAGTCCAACACGAACTAAACGTTCGGGACGAAGCTGTTCATGGATCGGACTAATTATCTGCCATCCTTTTATTTCAAAATTTTCACGTTCCACTCCTATATCTAATGGTCTAATAATATATGAATATATAAATCATATGTAATATAAAAATACCAAATCTATATAATTAGACTGACTGTATATAACAATATTTTACTCGATTTTTCAAGATTTATTTAATATTCTATTAAGAATTCTGTATATATTTCTTGTATTCTTTAAGTAAATATTCATATGTAAATGTTCAATAAATAAGCTAATCATCATAATTAAATAAAAATTTCCAAGATTCTATCATTTATTATGACTAAATCAGTTACAAGATAAAGATTAGAAAAAGGTAATATAAACATTTATTTCTGCTCACAGAATACAATATTTTCTCTTAATCAATTTAATTAAAGAAGTGTTTTTAAGTCAATGTTTATATGTAAAAAAAATTATTTTATACAGTCTTACATAGGTGTACATCCATATAAAATACGTTTTACATCAGCCAATTTCTTCTTTGGTATATATTGCTCTAAGATCTGTTCTACAGTTTCAGACATAATTGCAACAGTTATCTCAATCTGCTCAGGTCTGCTCGTTGACTGAATAATCTTAAAGCTGGAAGTTATTTTTATAGATATGATAACATTCCCTCTTCGTTATAATGGCCATAACAACAGAAACGAGATTAAATAATATAGAAGATAAATGGCTGAAAAACATTATATCTGAGAAATGTTACTTATTAAATATTACTATATTACTATACCAAACTATTATTATATTATTATATTAAATTACTCTAAATTTTAAATATTATTATTATGTGATGATACAATTAATGTACAAACCTAATTATATTTTAAACTTGTAAAAATCTGGGGATAAAATGTGAAAGTATTTAAATCATATTCTCTGATGTCTTTTAATTTATTGTTAAGCTAATAGCCAACTTTATTATCTTTATTACATCAGATGTAAACTGAGTAGATTTATGAACAAATATACATAGTTGACAGATGCATGTGACATCAAAAAATATGGGACACAACTTATTGTTTGTATCTCACCATTATTTTATGTCGTATTTTCGTGATCGAAAATATATTTAATCTAATTAATGATGAAAATGCAAAGACAAAACTGTCAAGGCTATTATAGTTTCTAAATAAGAAGTGTTTAAAGTCAACGAATCGGCCTAAAATTTGCGCTTTAAAAAAAATATGCCAATAAATTTAACACATAAAATTAATCTCAAATCAACTTTGCATCATACGTACATATATAAGGTAGACTATGTACATTACATAATTTTTTACTATGTAGTTACGATTTCTGAACGCAATGAAACCTTGCATCAATCGAAAAACATGATCCACCATGCAGTGAAAAGTACATATTCAATTTATTTATAGCACTTACGCTTGTGCCTATCTCATCTGCTGTACATATACACATATAATTCAACTATGTGAATGGAAAATTTAATGCAATCTGATAGTGACGAGTTTTGAAATTTTTGTTCGCTATGAGTTATAAGATGGCAGAAGTATCGAATTTTTTTATCACATTCATACCATATTGCGATAATACAGTTGATTTCCATAAGAGACGTTTGTAAGCCACTAATAATTAAATAACAAGTAATGGAATCAAGGTGTAATTATTCGTAAATTTTTAATACATGACAAAATAATATCCATTTTGTGTGGAACGTGTAAATTGAAGAGAGAAGAATCGGAAATAAAATTGAAGATTTTGAGATTGAAGATTCTAACCTAAATATAATCTTGCTTGACAAGTATATAAGTGGATCACATAATGTGATTTAATACTTTTGTATTTTGTCTCCAAATTCTCACAAGTTTATAACGTAATTAGGTATATGTATTAATTATATTACATACATAAGACATTGTTAGCTAGAAAGTTTTGCAATGGCTGCGACAAGAGAAAAGCGAGCCAATGCTGGCAATAAAATGGCAAGGCTGCTAAATGAAGAAGAAGAAGATGACTTTTACAAGACTACGTATGGTGGCTTCGACGAAGTGGAACAAGATCACGATTATATGTTTGTAACTGCTTTCATAATTTCTATTATGTTTATCTGTAATGAGAACTTATAATGAAATACATAAATATTTGAATTTTAGGGAAGAAGATGAAGGAGAAGATGAAGTAGATTCAGACTTTAGCATCGATGAGAATGACGAGCCAGTTTCCGATACCGAGCAAGAGGGCCCAAAAAAGAAACGTAGATTAATAACAAAGGCATACAGGGAGCCCAAACCTGCTACATTACATGCACAATCAACACCTAAGGAGAAGAAGATAAAACAAACAAAACAAGATAAGGTTTTCATAGACAGCATAGGTAATATAAATTTTAGGATAAATGTTTCTTATATATTCATCTGCATTTATCTTATATAGAAAGAAAATCAATACGCCGTTCTACTGCTGCAAAGTCTGCTGCTACACAAAAACGCTTGCGAGAAAGAAATGAAGATCAAAGACGAAAGATAAAAGTTGTGAAACATGATATATGGAAACCTACCCAGGAAGAATTACTAGAAGAAGCGTTGCAAACAGAAGAACTTAATATGAAATCATTAGGTGCATTTTATAATAAAATATTAAATAATGTTCTTTGAACGTTTTTTCTTTTCTCAAAGTTGCAAAATATAAATTAAAAGGGAGACTTAAGAAAATGAAATTAAAATAAATTAAAATTATATTTCTTTCTGAAAGTTACGAACAGAATAATTATGTCATAATTACCTTAAAAATATAAATGGCTAAAATTATTCTTGTAGAAAAATATCAGAAATTAGAAAATGAAAAAAGACTACGAGGACTGTAAGAAAAACGCATGTTGGACCAATGATCAGATATCAATCATTGTCTATGCCAATCATGATATTGTCTGAGAAATCTACAGATGAAGATGAAAAATAAATGTCGAATGTGATGATGAGGGAAAAGGAAATTCTAATAATGCAAGTTCTGATAATATTCCAAAAGAAGGAAGGTACAGCTTATTTAAAAAATATTTTTTCTATGATGAAATATGAAATAGCGTATAAGAAATAAAGTTTCAAAATAAGCATTTAAAATATTTTAGTGCTTAATAATTTCTTCATCTACTATTTCAGCGACGAAAAAGATAATAAAGATAAAGAAGAGTCTATAATTATTCTATCTGAATCTATTAAAAAGAAGGATATTCAAGCTGAAGAAACTGGGACATTTTACGAACGTACATTTATTACTTTTGAAAATGAACAATCGTATTTAAACGTATTTAAAAAATCGACACAACAACGACCACCCTTGAAACATCTATGTGCAATTACACGGTAAAAAATATTGCTATTTAAATTTATTTTCATGTTTAAGATTAGTATATATTTGTGTTATATTATTTATGAACGAATAAATAATATAAATAATATATTTTAAATAAAGAAAATTTGGATTGTTTTAAACAGATTACCTGCTAAGTATCTGGATCCTATGACACAATTACCATACAAAAATGTACAAACCTTCCGATTACTTAGAGAAGCGTATTATCAGCAATTGGAAGGACGGACTGATCTTAATGATGCATCTCCAGAATTATCACGATGGCTCGAATGGCGACAGAAAAATCACAGTAACTCTCAGAGAAATACTGTTCGTTTGGAATCAGCATCTCTACCTGTATCTTCATAATCTTTTTTGCATGTAAGTAGTGATTTAGAATAAAGAATAATCTGTTTTTATTCTCGCGATCAAATGTAAATTTAGATATAAGCTATGTATTTGAAATAAAGCACTATATAAATTTTCTTTATAAAATAGTTTGTTTCATGTTTTTATACGTGATATCTTTGTATAATATTAATTATAATATATAAACTATAACATTTATAAACATTTATAACATATATAACAAACTATAAGACTGAACAAAATATATATCTAAATAAGACATACATCTGAATATGATATCTGAATAAGGTATATATCTTTCATATATAGAAATATTTTAAATATATTATAATTTTATGATTTTAACATTTTACATATTATAATTAAATAATGTCAGAATAATTATTAATGCTTCAATATTATATATCATATAAAATAATTAGATGTATATGTACATATAAATCATATGTGTTCGTTTTAATTATTCATTTTTTACATAACAAGTTGCATTCCATAGAAAGCAGTAATTTTATTCCTATCATATAAATATGTGTTGTTACAACATAAAAATGGGAGTTTATAACTCAAGCACTTGTGGATACATTCATTATAAACATTTATCTTAAAAGCAAATTTGGTATTTTATTAATAAAATAATGAAATACAAGGCATTATTAATAATCTATATTATAGATATAATCCCTTTCGTATGTAATCAACTGAGGATGAAACTATTTTATATCTTAAATCATATATATATATATATTTTTTTTTTCATCAGCTGTATATATATATAAAATTTACTCTACTTAGTTTTAAAGGAAATTTGCCTTTCCTAAGTTTTGTAGCTTGTGGCCTAAGGATACAGAATAACTCAAAGATATCTGTAGAAAACTATGGTCACTTCGACATTGCTTGTATACATTACAGTTCTGAGTTTTATATCTGCTGAGTGTGTGTGTGTGTGTGTGTGTGTGTGTGTGTGTGTGTGTGTGTGTGTGTGTGTGTGTGTTCATAACAAAGTAATAAGCCTGCTATATCAAATGGTAATTATACGTGATTATCTTACCATTTTTAAGATTGCTTCGAGAAACAACGCTTTATTTCTCACAACACTTTCTTACAACAGATAATTATATATATAATTAATATATATATATATATAATTCGCGATAATATAAATTATACGTACTATAAATCAAGTTAAACGCACGCATGATGTACTATAATTATCCTTCATTATTTATCTTGCTCTTTTTTTAATAATCTTATTAAAAATTATTATAAGTAGTAAATTTGAAAATCGTTGATCCTTCATATAATCCATCGAAAAGTAGACACTTCGATCTGTTAATTTTACTCACTCTCTATTTTATTTAGGATACAATAAAAGCTCATGAGACGATAACGTATTACAGTACAACCACACAGAAAGCAACAATATATTTTAAGGTTTTTAAAAACGTCTACTATACAACTTTGCTTATAATTGTCCTTATATAAGTTTATTCGGTAAGAAGTTTCGAAAGACCCATGTAAAAATAAAGTAATCCCGAAGCATGTAGTGCCCAAGCTTGTACAGACTAGTACTATCATTTACGAAGAGCCGAGAGTGAGCAATAAGAAAGGACTATCTCAAGTTAACTGTTTTTGTCGTCCCTTTCCTTATCATTCGTCGTGTAAGCCCATTATCTATATCATATATTTTCTTCTATGCAGTGCATGATAGTATTTATTCATGATACTTCATTGCGTATACGATCATAAACTGTCCACATACTCACGCTACGCGTTAAGAAGCTATTTATATATTTATATAATTTTTTTAATATAATGTGTGTGTGTGTGTGTGTGTGTGTGTGTGTGTGTGTGTGTGTGTATTACAAAGAAGCAGTAATATAACATTTATTTATATTATAACATAATTTATATCGTGACAGATAGAGAGACAGACAGAGAGAGTAAAGATGATCTTCGCGGACAGAATGGTGCGTGTGTACGCTTTTATAGCATTATACAATTTTTTTGTTTTCTTGTCGTTTATCCTTACTTGATTATTTTCACGAACATGTAATGCATACTCATTTATGAATTGATGGATGTCCTCTCTCTTGTACTGGTAAGTATAAAATTTCTCTTAACATACGAGATTACATGCTTGCGCACATAGTCTTAACTCTCGTTCTGTTATGCACTTGTTATATCTATCGCCAACTAGTACTCCCCCTTTTTTCTCCTCCGTATAACTGCTTCTGTAAAATAAAAATACTCTTAATAGCAATTAAATTATAAATAATAAATGTTTAAAATTGTACTTAGTAAACGATGATTATCGTTCCATTGATTTATCATATATCCGCTTTTAAATTTATTATAAATTGAACTGTTAAACAAATATAACAGAAATATATGTATGCTGATACATACATATATATAAGAACTCACTATTGGTTCGAATCATTAACATACCTTTTTCATGCAGTTTTTCATGTGTATCATGGAACTTATTTTAAAAATGTGGGTGTGTAATATAATCTATATTGAAGTACAAGTAATCGAGTCATTTAAATTAATTGATCGTGCATATTTTAAACATATCATCAGATTATAAATCTTCAAAAAGTTACATTAAAAAATTTAGAAAATATTTGTATAATAATTAGTCAAGCCTACAATATAACAGATATTTTACATTCTATACGATCAAGTATTAATTTCAGAATCTAATCTCAAAAAAAGAAAAATATTTTTAGAAAGAAAAGATTCACACACACATATATAAGCACGAATCAATAATTCTAAAGGATTATAGATATGTGGCTGCTTAAATCTTAAAAGAAAACAAAAGAATTTTATACAAGCACAAAATAACAAGTTGTTCTTTTCCTTGCATTCTCTATCTAAAGTGAAAATATGTATCTATTCATTATGTGAAAGAAAAAAAGAAAAAAATATAGAAAATAGGAAAAATACATAAAAAGAACAAAAATAAAAATGTTTAAAAAAAATACACAAATATTATAAATTCATGATTAGAATTTTCTTAGAATTTATGAATATTACATAATTCTATAAATACTTAGAATCACATCCATGCTTACGTAAACTTTCTTACGGTGACGTCAGAGATCATCAAGAGATTAAGATATGAATCATCCTATATAATCAATGCTTAATATTATTTTTATTGCGAATTTTTTTTTATTTCATAATTATTAAATAAGTTATTAAGGATTGAAATTATATTGAAATATACCAACAAAATTTCTAAGATTGTAAAACATACAGGTTGTATATTCATATATACAATCATCAAACATGGCACTAATATCAATGGAATTATTACATATAAAAAAACTAATAAATGTAACAACTTTTTTATATATTCCAGTTCATTTAGATATTTTAAAGATATTTAATAGTCTAAAAACAAAGCAATGTTATTACAAATAATTTGGAACACCATTCAGTCATATATATTTATTATTGGCCACAAATACCGCTTTTACTTTTATCGCCTGGTTATATAGAATCTAATTATATAATATATTCGAATATCACCAGGACATCCTTTTAATCACAAATTCTTTGATCAATTCGAACTCAACATTTTCTTAAAAAAAAAAATTCTGTAACGCGATATTTTACAAATTTTTAGCATTGTATTTTTCTTTATATACAAGTTCATATTTACATTGAAGAAAAATATTACTATTCATAGAAAAATTTAATTTTGTTTATTTAATCTCCTACAATTTTTGATTTATCAAATGTCTTTCAATCGATAATTACTTGCAAAATATTGACTTTAGATATTGAGAAAATGTCGATATTAAATTAATCAAAGGATATATAACTAAAAGGACGTCTGGTTGTTTTGAAACACATTTATAAAATTAATCGGCAACACAATCCTCTAAAGAAAACAATCTCTTAAATATTTTAGTAGAAAATTAAATATGTATAAGAAACTCCATAGTTATATATACATGGCAGAAATAAAAAATTCAATATTTCAATATGATTTTAATGATATAGAGAACACAAATTATTGGAATGAAAGAAATATGATGGAAATGTCTTTAGTAATGTTTAATTTTGATATATGTTAAAATTAACTCAATTTACAATCAAGTTAACATTTATAATGAACTAACCACAGTGTTTTCTTATATTAAATCTATCCTATCATACAAATAATCATTCCAGAAATTTTTTACTGCATCATAAACGAAATCTTTTTTTCGTTAAGAAATTAAATATTATCCCCAACTGTATTTCCGTGATATTCATACTGTATATGCGTGTACACACATTTTAAGCAACAAGGTGAGTCACTGGCAGCACTGCTTACGCATTCCCTCGGTATTCATCGTTGGTTTGACTTCAATTTGTTCTACATTCTGTGGCCGGATTGTATCACCTTCAGGTGGATCACGTATCTGTTTTTGCGATACGATTCTGTATATTTCTGTAAAAACAAAATATGTCAAATAAAGACATAAAAAAAACATGCTACATACAATTTTAATTTAATATATAATAAATAATTTCAAACACAAACGCAATACTTAAAATCAATTAGATATTGAAAAAATATTAATGATATTACAATATTTTAACATATTATGTAAAAAGCATTTCTAATGTAATAATTTGTACTATATGTAAGAAATTAAATAATTTATACAGAGTTAGATAATTTGATTAATGTCAAGACAATACATGATGACATGTACGCATTACGATCGAATCATAGGCAAAAAGTCTTTCATTTCAATCTTTATCTTTATATACCTACGTTGTAGACGTATAACTTTTAGAAAAAATTGATTAAACAATTAAAAAAGTTTGAACAAAAGAATATAATAAGATTATAAGTTATTTCAAAAACAAATTAATCATGATTATGACATAAAATAATTAATATATGGAACTGTTTGTAAAAATTTCAAATAAATCTCATAATAATTCCGACAGTCTATGGCATTAAAAGATGTGTATTACAGCATATGCGAATCATTATTAACTATATGAAAATATTGATAATTATTTTCATAGAAACAAAACATTATTATATTGATTAAATTACAATTTACAATTTTAATATGATTTGCAATTAATTCAGCTTAATATAATAATATTATAGAAAAAGTTTTATTACCTGTTAATATATTTTGAAACGCTGTCTCAACATTGGTAGAATCTAAAGCGGATGTTTCAATGAAGGACAAGCCATTTCTTTCAGCAAATGCTTTAGCCTCATCAGTTGGAACAGCACGCAGATGCCTCAAGTCTGATTTATTTCCCACTAACATGATCACAATATTCTGATCAGCATGGTCCCGTAATTCTCGTAACCATCTTTCTACATTTTCATACGTCAGGTGTTTTGCAATATCGTATACAAGTAATGCACCGACTGCTCCACGATAATATCTAGTAATTAAAGAAAGGTTATTGATAAATATATGATAAATATTGTATCCAATTTACAAAAAGTTTTATGTAAAATAAATTTATTAAAAGAATCTAATAGAATAAAATTCTATTTTGTTTTATTTTTCCACATTATCATAAATAATTGATTTTTTAGAAAATTTAATAGATTTATAAAAAGTTTAATTATATAGTCCCTTAATGTTGAACATAAATGATTTTGATAAATTAAACTATAGTAATACAAATGTATACGAATATAATAATCAATTTTTATTTTATTAAATTCAATTAGAGATCAATTAGAATAAAATTAAATTGTTATAAAATTCTAATTTTACTTGTAAAAATATATAAACATTCAAATATCATTATAAATAATAAATAACTGCAAAATCTAATTTTATTATAAAAATATGTTTAATATTATTCAATGTAAAAAATAAGTTTTTCACTACACTTTAATACTACTATTTTAATACTGTTTTTATATTATTAAAAAATATAATAAAGTTCTTATTTTGAAATAATAATTAAAACAATTCATAAAACATTGCTATTTTTATATTTTTTAATAACAGATACAAGATGGAAATTAAAACTTACGCAGAGGTAATTGCACGGTAGCGCTCTTGTCCAGCTGTATCCCAAATTTGGGCTTTAATGGTTTTACCATCTACTTGTATACTGCGTGTTGCAAACTCAACTCCGATGGTAGATTTTGATTCTAAATTGAATTCATTTCTTGTAAATCGGGATAGGAGATTACTTTTCCCTACTCCAGAATCTCCAATAAGAACAACTGGAAAAATAAAGAAAATTAGACAAATGTTTAACAATAATTTAATTTATGTTATTTAGTGAAAAATGAAAACAAAAATGTTTTATAATCAAGCCATATTTTTGTCTCTCTTCTCAAACACATTAAAGTTTGATTGAAATTTTTTAAAATATTATAAGTAAAATTACTATCATTATTATCTAAAAATAATAATTTGAAATTTTGTATGTTTGTTATTATATTTAAATTTGTAACCGAGATTAAATATAAATCTTAAACTATAAAATTAAAAAATATATGAGTATATTATTTTTTGAAATGTCTTATTTTTAAATTATGTAATAACTAAACTAACAACTTAACCTCCTTTTCAATATGAAAAATATATTAAAATATATTAAAGGTAGTTACAAATATAGTATAGTTATAGATAGTTTCAAAGTGTGAATGATCATATCAGATTTTCCGATTTAATTTCATAATTAAAATTAATAATCGTTGTATAATAAATGCAAGAAATTAATAGCTGAAAGTAATGACTTAATAAATATCACACAAAGTTCTTTATCTGTCAAATTGAAAAAGTTATGTCATGTATCAGTGAATCAGTGCCACATCATGCTCATGTACAGTGTGTATATATAATGTACATTATACATTATACATTCTTTCTATAGATCGCTATTCACACATAAAACATGAGAAATAATGCATAGCAGAGATCTCATTGAATTCTCTCATTCAATGTCTGCTTCTATCAAAGTAAGAAACATAAATATAGCCTATATCTGTTTATGTATACATATATCACGTTTATATATTTACTGATTTGTCTAAAGATAAATTTAGATTAAAAACTTGATTATTTTAATGAGATAATTTAGAACAAAATGCATCATTTTTTATCTTTACAATCAGTTGCATGACATCAATTCTATATAAGAATCATGCTCATTAAAAGATTATCTAAAAATCACTAATTTAACTACCTATTGCAATGCCATATATTCAGATCACAACAGTGACAGTGACCCAAATATATATGATTGCATTATATACCCTTTATGAAGTCAAGGGTCGAGATCGAAACGAAATTGATGAAAGTATCCCATGAAACAATAAGTGGTAAATAATCAATTTGACCTGTATTTCCAACCCACAAGCGCATAAATGATTAACATTAATTGTCACACAAATAAAGAGAAAACATCAAGTGGTGGATGTAACAACTGACAAGAGAGAGTTGAGAGAGTACAGTAATCTTTGTCCTCTTTTTTTTCTTTCTCTCTCTTCTTTTCT